AAATAACCGGCATTCAACATTACAATAGTTTTTATTGTCTACTTTATTCATCAGGAATTTCTTGTCCTGATACAGTATCAGGTTATTAGAGCTTATAATCTAATCTTTGTATGTATAGGAGCTTTATGTACCTGAACTAAAATGTTACAATATACATAAAGTAATATTAGAGTTAATCATGGACAATATACAATACTATCTGACCCCTACGCATAGATATACTGGAACCCTTGTCAACTTTGGTTAAAATGGTTTTACTTTTAGCTCTCTTTAATTCATTTAAGTTTTATTTATTGGGATGCTTTGATGTGAAAAATTAGCCCTTAAACACTAGTAGTTTGATGTATATAGCTAGTACCTAGTTAAGTAAGTAGGCGGTGTACATTCGGGCCAACCGTCCAACACTGAACAGATACGGAGGGCGACACAGTTTACCTGACACGTAAGACCCTTTGCTGCAATCACGTGTTTCCGACATTACGTACCGGAAGTTGCAGTAGATGAACATACTTTCAACTTTATTGTCTCATCATTTAACAATGTACAACAGCAGGGGGAGCAGAAGCGCATCCCCCTGAATTAGGTACAATTTGTCACATCATTTGAAGCATTAAACAGCATTCACATAGAAGAAATAATACATATAAACAACCATATATACAAAAGACACATAATAAAAAATTATTTACAACATATATGCACAAAGTTGCATCAGGCTATGCAAAGTCCAGTACTAGTGTAGGTTCAAGGCAGGTTGTTATAGAGTCTGATGGTGTAGTGCAGGAAGGACTGTTGCAGCCGTTTAGTTCTTGCATGGGGAACAGTGATGTTGTGACTGTTCCTCAGCGATCTTCCTGTGACAGACTGTCTCTGGGCAGGAACCAGGTCGTGCAGGGGATGTTCAGGATTCAGCATGGCCTTGAAAAGAGACACAGCAGCGGCCTCTCTCCTCTCCTTCAGGGACGGCAGTGTCGGTACAGAACGTCTGCCGCCACGTGAGATGATCCGGAGGGCGCGCCTCTGAACCCTCTCCATGCTCGCTGCCTGCTCCTCACTGCAACCGACCAACAGAACATGGCCATACTCCAGGACAGGGCGGATGAGACTCAGGTACACCTGGACAAGATCTTGCACACTCATGCCCTGTTTTGTCAGCAGGCGGAGGTAGTGGAGCCTGCTCGAGGCCTTTGACACCATAGACTTCACATGTTCGCGCCAGGAGAGTTTGTTGTCAAAGATGAAGCCGAGCCCCTTGCTAACAGTGGTGACTGGCACAAGCTCGCCCCCGAGAGACAGAGGTGGCAGTACTGGAGCGTTTCTGCTGAAGCAGATCAGCAGCATCTGGCTTTTCTTGCCGTTCAGGAGCATGTCGTTACGGTCAGCCCAGTTGTCAAGCTGCGACGCCTCCTCTGTCATGGCACTGTCCGTGCTAGCTTTCTTCTGACATGTCCCAATTTACTTAATTTTGGCCAAACCGTTTAGCCCTTTTCGTCATAATGACGTACGTACACCAACACAGATGAACTTTCTTGCTAAAATTGTTAGTTGTTTAACATAAACCCAAACCCTCTGATGTCAAACACAAACCAAAATGTTCTCCGATGTCAGTACACCATGTTAAAAACGTCTTGCAGAAGATGTTTATTCAAATATCTGAAGGAAGCTTTCTGGATGCTTTCTCTGATTGTGCCAGATACCTTTGGTGGCAATTTATGCTTTTTCTGCAATACAACGTCCCAATCCGATCGGTACATTTTTAATTTGCAACAGAAGTAAGGATCTATGTGAAACTCATCGTTCCAAACCGACCTAGGAATAGTCAGCTTACCGATTGTTCTGTTAATTGAATGTTTCACTGGTACCTGTACGATTGCCTTCGCGCAATATGTTGCTGTTGACTCAAGCACTTTTTTAAAATGGCGCACCTCTCTGGAAAAGTCGTCCCCTTCGTTTTCGATTCTATTCCAAAGCGTAGCGTTGAAGTGATCATACAGCTGATAATCTACATTACTCCAGTGGCGATGCATCACGACTAAACGTGTGATGTTTTCTGAAGATTTATTGTATGTTTTTATTTGTTTTGGCACAAGGTCATAAAGAATATCTTTCACGTCCCAGCACATCATACGCTTCAGCAGCACGAGAGACTCGTTAAAATGTTCTAAAATGAGAACTAAATGCATATCTCTGGACATCCTGTTAATAAAATCAGCAACAACAGACTGGTTGTCAGACAGTCCGAGGGGGAAACCTAGGTTGTACGCCATGAAATTTTTAGTGTGTGAGTATGGTTTATTGTGATGAATGACGTACGGAATTTCAAATTTAGTGGGGTTCTTTAAAAAGGATTCAACAGGATCTTTTCCCTCTAACCCTTTGAAGTGTTTAGTAAGGTGATACCAATTAAACACAGACCTTAGGTGAGCGAGTGGATGCCTTAGCGTGGTAAGGTATACCGTATTTGGTGCCATGATGTTTTCCAACAGTTCTTTATGGTAGATAGCATGGTTAACGAACACGTTGAAGAAACTGTCTTCTGACGGTATGACGTCTTCTTGTTTGAAGAGGTTGGGCCAGCCGACGTAAGCCCCGCCATTCATGGGTAGGACAAAGGTCAGGTTGTTCTCATACCCAAACCGTTGAAGAATGCAAGCTGTTGTTGTGCTGCCTGCTTTGTGAATTTTTACAAACATATAGTTCAGCTTCATGTCACAGACTTCTTTTCCGCTTAACAGTCCCCTAAAAATATAAGTAAGAACCAACGTTAAACTACTGTATTACAGAGGTACATATCTCTCTCGCTCTCGTTTCCTCTCTCTCCCTCTCTTTCTCTTCCTTTGCGTTTGTATAGTGTTTGCGTCACTCATACTCATTTGCAAATAGATGTTATTAAGGAAGTGCATGTGCCAAAATGTGGCTTCTTTTAAGTGTGTCTAGAGTTGACGACGCAGCTGTCAGTCATGACTGTTAACATGTGAGTATTTTGGCGAAAGACAAAATCATTTAATTAGCTGTCGACCTCTGACCCCGCGTGACCCAGAGGTCATCTTTGAGATCAGAGCCGACGGCAGTGACAGCACGGCTCCGTAAAACAGCCGGCTAACTGTTACTCTCCTACAACCCTTAAAAGTTTCTCCCCCACCCACCCACCCGTGGATTCCAATGTTTCACAGCATTAAAATTTTACCAAGCCCATCTCTAGTTGTCTTCTGTGCGTGGTGTGGAGTGCAGATAATTTAAATGCATGCACCCCTAGTGGGCAAATTAATCGCCAACCCTTAATGTAAAAACTTATTGTTACAATCACACGGATGTTTTCATTGAAAAATCTCAATTAGTGGTGTGATTGAACATAATCCTCCTTTAAATAAAACAGGGGTACTTATCTGGTAATCGTCATAATGGTTTGGCGAGCGTATGTAGAGTAATATGGTTTAACCCTACCTAGACCGGGGGGGGGGGCTAAAATTGCCCGCGGCAACTTTGATGTCACCTAGCGTCTGAACGGCTAGCCGTAGAACGGCCAAACTTGGTGACTTTTCCTAGAATATTGTTGGCAACAATTCTCTATCATTGGAATAAGATAATGATTTTTTTGTGTTGCCATGGCAACGGGTTTCTGACAGGCATTTTTTGCTAAATTTAGTACTTTTTGTTTCAACAATAGAATTTTATGGGTTTTATGTCAAGTTACTCATGGTGTCTAATATTAATAACATCCCATATAATTTTATGTAAATTTTATCATTAAATATGCATATTTTATGCTAATTTGATGACGTCATTGGCCAAAATCCAAGATGGCGGACCATATCATTAGAACAGGTATATACAGGTTATTTTCATTAAAATTTCATCAATAGTTCCATTTCTTTTTCCAACAAAGGTTTAAATGAAGGTCTTTAGTATGTTTACGATGTATTTTAGGCTTTATCATAAAAAAAACTATTTTTGAAAATTCAAGATTGATGATCCAAGATGGCGGATATCTTAAATATGCATGACGTCATTTTATGACGTCACCGGTGTTGCTATGGGCAACATAAGACTTAGTACACCATAATATTCTGTCATAAACACTTTTGGTACAGTTATGTTGAATACCATTTAGTTTTCAGGGAAAAACCTATTTAGACGGTTTTGGCCAATAAAATCACATTAATGACGTCATAATGACGTCATATTACATCATAACGACATAAAAATTGTAGATATGATAAATACATGATAGTACACCATTCTCTGAAATTTTGGTGGTCATACGACATACCGTTCGCGAGTTCTTAGGGGGGTCAAAAGAGCCCCCCCCCCCCGTCCCCCCATGTCAAAAAAGACCGGTCTAGGTAGGGTTAAACAGAACGCTGACGAGAACATCTGAGAGTTGCAAAAGAATGGGCTGTTTTTGCATCATTTGAACACTCTGATAACATGTGTACTAAATATAAGTGACGTGAGAGTAGGAAAATACCACTAAAGACACCAGGATATTCTTACATCAACATCTATCAGTGCCATGAAGTGTCCAGTGACAGCTGAGTACGGTGCGAGTATGATAGTGATAGTGCGTCAAACACAATCTTTATACAAGAGATTTAGAATCAATTACCTGTTCAGCAATTTCCAAGATGATACCGCTGGGGGTAGGTATGGTGTGTTTTTGAGCACGGTTGTTGGGAGATAATACACTCCGGCACAGATAAATAAAAGTACTGCGCAAATCTTGTAGAGCTTAATAGATGCCCCTGTGTGGGCAGATGCTGTTGATGTGCCTGTCTTCATCACGAATGATCCTAATAAACACAAATATATTTACAGACACTGGGATGGCCCAAGACTCGGATGATTTGAGTGTATAATATGTACATTTTAGATGGCCAAGTTGCCCTTTTGTCTCGTCGAAATCCGTTGGATGCTCTACAACAATTGACATACAGCTGAATTCTCCCTATTCGTCCATATCAGTACACGTAATTTTTTAATCAATGTATCAACAACACCGTTGTTTTATTAAAACAAAACATTTTAACAATTGTTTAATAAGGGTTTGAGCAAAGGTTCTTGCATTTCCGCCATCAACAATATTGTTGTCGGAGCAAATAAATAAGGTTTCCTATAGTATACAATAATTGTAAATACGAAGAAAGTGAATAGTAATAAATGCTATATAATATTATATGTATTTTATGCAAGAGAGCTTCAAGACGAGATGTGTTAACAACACTGAAGGTGATTCCTAAATAAACAAACAAAAAACGAACAACTACTTACTTAAAAGGTACCTAGCTAACCAAGTGCGCTTTAACCAAACGTAATAACGTTGAAATGTTTATATGTTTGCCTTGTCGACCTGGACTGTTGAGACTGGTAAAAGTCATATAAACAGAACATTTTCGTTTACAATTTACTAGTAAGTGGCAATATGTGGCATTATGTGGATGCACTATCAAGTGAATCAAAGACCTTCTGTCATTCTTTTGGTTGTTTATAAAACTACCATTCTTGCATTGTAGGCGTTGGCGAGCTGATGTTTCTGCATGTATTACAAAGACTAGTCTAAAGGTTTCTTTATAAGTTGCACCCTCCCCTGTGAGTGAACGGGTTGTTTTCTTGTTTTTTTTTTCACTTTTGTCCTGAGCTTGCATGTAGCTGGGATACATGCAGCTAAAAACAGTGGAAAACTTCTCAAAAATACTAGTATACATACCCTGGTTCACACATGCATCTGAAATCTGAACAGTACTGAACCCATCTGACACCTGATTCCCTTTGACCACTGACCGACACCCGAATATGATTGAAGTATTTTTCAGTACATTCAAATAAACTCAATTTCCGGAGCCAATTCAAGCCAACTTAAACTAAGGTTGTAGATACATGAAATGACAGTCATAATTCACCAGATTGTAGTGTCCTCAGAAATAGTCGGGGGGGGT